ATTTTTATTTTTGATTTTAGAAAGGGGAAGGGAGGGAAGAAGAGAGAGAAGCATCTACGTGAGATAGGAACCGGTTGCCTTCCACATGTGCCCCGAATGGGAATTGAACTGGCGGTCTTTCAGTGTATGGCACAGTGCCCGACCCACTGAACCCACACCGGCCAGAGCATTAGCAAATTATTTTAGTAAACTCAATTCACATGCATTTGTCTAAACTCCTCTCAAAACAGTTTCCTAAGTATATCATTTTAAGCACTTCTGACATTGAACAAAGTGAAAATCAATATGTTTAATGATACTACAGTCCTTTCAAAACTGTTTTCCAAAAAAAACCATAGTGATAAATTAATTACCCTGTCTAAATATCCTAACTTCATAGTAAAAAGTCTGCAGTATCCATTACTAGTGCTTTGATAACTAGGAGGATAAATGAGGACAGCTGCGACAGGCAGGTGGCAGGGGTACTGCAGCCAGACCACCGCAATAGCATGAGGGTTGCAAGAACGTGAGCTGTAATGTTTTTGCCGGTGTACGGTCTTGCCTTCACTGACCCCTCACTCCACAAGGGCTCTGACCCCTCACTCCACAATGGGGACCTCTACAGTTAAAATATCCCTCCCAATTTTTATCTGCCACATGTGGGTATGGGACCAACCTGTTCAGCATTTCCACCCCTCCTACCAGTCTCTGTGTGGCTTCTTTAAATCCCTAGTTGTGGGACTTCCATGTCGCTAGATATCATGTGGTTCCGAATGATGGTTGTTCTGTAGTTTAGTAGTAATTTTGATGTGGTTGTGGGAAGATTTGAGTACCACATTTACCTATGCTGCCATCTTGACTACAAGTCAAGAACCAATATTCTAGAGTGATCTCCAACATCCTGTCTAGTTGAATAGACTGCGAATATAAAATTTCTCTCCTTAACTACCAACCAACTTTTTATCCTGTGGTGACTTTTGACCTAGCCTGTGGTGACTTTTAAAAAATCTTTCCCTATGCACATGAGACCAGCCTATTTTGTAGGAGTGTAGTATGCACTACATTCGTTGGCGTTTCGACTTCCCTTCCCATTTACAAAGACATCACTTAGTCAGGGAGTATTGGGGGGAGGTTGAGGACTGGAAATATATGCTCATCAGAAGAAGATCTAGCCAAGAGCGTTATGAATTGAGAAAGTTTTCTGGACTCCTTCTCCCATCCTGGCAATGCCTTATATTTTTCCTGGGCTCACAACTTGTTCCGAAAAGGTCTTATTGGTATGACTGGTTCAACTTGGTAAAGGAAGGGAGACAGTCCCAGTCCCTGGCTGGGAGAGTTGCTCCTTAGAGGCCAGGCCTGTGGCCCGCAGGTGGTCTGACGGTTGTTCAGAGTTGCCAGGTGGCCCCCAGGTGGCCAGGGTTGAGCTTCCAGTTCCTTTAGCAAAGCATATGCTCCATGCTGGTGCTGTGCCAGGCTTTGTGGTACAGACGGGGGCCAGATACACTCTCTGCACTTTTGTGCAGAATAAATGTGTAGAAGACTTTGGGTGTGACAGTGGTCTCTGCACCAGCAGCTCTGGGTCTGGATCCCAGGGTACAGGCAGTACCTCTCAGGGGAATGCAATTTCACAGCTCAGGCCTGACCTGTGAAGAGGTGTTTGCTCTTTCTGCAGCCTCAGGTGTGCAGAGGACTCAGTGTGACCAAAGGGCACACTGGAAGAACACAAAGTTGGCTGGAGAAGAGAGTAGAGTATGAGAGGCTTCAGCACAGGTACTGCCCAGTGGAGAGGTCAGTAACGGCAGGCGATGCTGGAGCCCAGACTCAACCCATCAGCTGTGGGCAGCACTGAAGGGTTTTTCACAAGGGATCCAGTCCAGTTTTGGTGTTAACTGTGCATTCCAATCCTGTTCCACTGAGTCTGAGTTGGGACGGAACCCTCAGCTGGCTCCCCGTGGTCTCTGGGCACCGTGGGAGAAGGGGGCCCTCATCTGACCGCTCTCTGCTGGCCTCCTTGCATGACATGCGAAGACAGTTTTTAGCAAGTCCCCAGGTGATTCTGTTGTGGATGGTCTGAGTGCCGACACAAAGGTTCAGTTCACGTTCTCTATCACGTTTACTAGTGTATTTCTTATCCTGTTTTATTTTCAGAAGAAAATCAAGAGAAACAATTTTTGTTCCCAATACCTTCCCACCCACTTAGTAGTTTTTGTTCATGTTGCTGCCAGCAGTGAGGGGAAGGGAGCTTTAAAAACAGCCTCCTTCAGAGATGAGCACATTTGCCCTTGCTCAGTGTCACCATTCACCCCAAGTCCGGACAGCAGCTGAGGGGGGCCTGTAAGGAGCTGACACCACTCTCCCCAACCTGAGAGGCAAAGGAAGGAGGGAGCTGGCTCTCTCCCTCCAGCTCCTCAGTGGCCCCTTGAACCTCCTTCTCCGTCGTGTGGGAGAACTCTGTGCGCTGAAGCGTCAGCCTACCCTACCTTTGTGGGGAAACTGGGAACCGAATGCTGGGCTACAGCTGGCCCCTGCTCCCTCTATCCTGTACCAAAGGAGCTTAAATCCCCTCTTGCAAGAGAGAGAGTCATGCATTTTCAGGTGGCCTGAACATTTGGTTTTGTCGGGAACATTTTAATATTGGTAAGCTTTTCTGGTATGCAAATATAAGACATGCCTCTTATAGAAAATATGAAATTAAGATAGTACTCTGAAATCTGCATTAGAGACAGTCACCTGCCAATCCTCTCTCTGCCTGGACCCACATACAGATGGGTATGTTCATAGACAGATAGTTTCATGGGCATGCAGTCATGGGTACTTGATGTAAATCATTTATTTTTCAATTACAGTTAACACACAATATTACGTTAGTTTCTGTTGTACACCTCAGTGATTAGACATTATATAACTTACTAAGTGATTATTCCAGTACATCTCATATCTACCTGACACCATACAGGGTTTATTAGAATATTATTGACTGTATTTCCTATGCTGTACTTGCATATTATTCTGTTGTGTGGATAACTTTTTCTTTAACTTACCCCTCCCAACATTTAAGTTATTTTCTTATTTTTTCCTGATTCTTAACATCTTTTATGCTTGTCTTCCTATCAGCTTAGAATAAATTTTCACATGCTGGTATAGCTGCAAGACAGCTATATACATGGGGTATGTCCATTTGAAACTTCGACATATTTATGCAAGTGCAGTCTCGGTCCGGCAGACGCAGTCTTGGTCTGTGGACAGACTTGCACTTTCACCTTTCCCTCCCCACACTGCAGGGAAGTCCTGAATGTCAACATCAAGCTTCAGTAACTGCAGAAGATTACACAACGACTCTCGCCTGGAACCCCATGCAAATCAGTGTGGCCACATAGCCCACATTTGTATCCAACACCCTTTCTGTTGAAATGTAGACCAGAGTATCTTCTGCAGCTGGAAATAACTACAGGGCCTGCCCTTTAATCTGTGAGGCAAGGGAACCATGGCTCAGAGAGGTCAGCAGCCTTCCCAGACCGCAGTAACGCACTCGGGCGCCCAGTCCAGTGTCCCCCCAAGGCCACTACCTCCTTCTACTCTGCTATGCGTCCTTAAGTTTCCCGGTCACACATTCACCGTGCGTTTGCCTCTCCCAACTTGCACATACACCGGGAGGATGAAGCCTTCACCTCCTCAGCTGAGGGTCAGTGCTCATGCCACCCAGGAGGTGGTGTGGCTTCTCCCTGGCGGGGCCCACAGTTAGCAGTGCAGGTCCCTGGCAACAGCCCTCAGATTGTTCTTTAGGTGATGCTCCCCTCGCCCCCACCAGTGTTTATCATTTGGTGCTGTCACCCCCCCCCTCCTGGAGCCTGTGGGCTCCCTCGCCGGTTTCTCTCTGTTTTTCTGAGTGCTTCTTCCATGCCCCCTGCCTGCCTCTCCTTGTCGTCACTTTGTGACACTATTTCCAAAGGCCACTCCTTACTTCTGTTGCCTCTTCACAATCATTCCTTAGCTGTTAAAGCCCAATTATTCTCCGTGTCCTGGCCCCATATTTCTAGCTCCCTCCTAGTCACCTTAACCCAAGGTCTCTCAGCTTTGGCACTATTGACATTTTCGCATGGACAACTCTACGTCATGGGGGGCTGTCCTGTGCATTCTAGGATGTTTAGCAGCATTCTCGGCCTTTGCTGGCTAGATGCCAGTAACGCCCACTTGGTTTTGACAACCAAAAATATCTCCAGACATCACGCACATCCCAGGGTGGAGGGGAGAATTGCCCCTGGTTGAGAATTGTTGCCTTAGCTGGGCTGCAGTTCTCAAATAAAACCAAGTTAAACAAAGGTAGCAAAAGTAAACAAGTTAAACCAAGTTAACTTGGTTTCAGTTAAAACAAAGCCAAGCCCTGCTCCTCCCCTCCCCAACTAGAACAGGGTTGACCAGATGCCACGAGATTCTAGCATGACTGTGTGCCTAACAAAAGTCAAGAAGACTGAGGGACAGGAGCCAGGACGACAGAATTCTGAGATTTGGAAGGGACCCCTGAGACCCTGAGCTCAGGTGTGCTGAGCTGTTGGGGCCTTATTTCCCTTTAAGCAAAGACAGCCTCAAACCCTTCTTAGCACCGCAGTCCAGTGGAGCAGAGTTGGTGTGAAAGGTGAACCTCTGTGCTATCCCTGCCCAGACTAACAACCTCACAGGTACAGGGCGAAGGTTCGTGGTGGGAAAGCTTCTTTGACATGGCTTTTGGCTATACTTACTAAAGATCACATGGCATCTGGTAGTACTCTTTCCCCCAAGATGAGGCCTGGCACAAAGCTGGTATTCAGCAAGTGATCGAATAAATCATTTTTAACAGTGATTGGCTCGGGATGGTGGGACCAGGGGTAACATTTTAATTTTCTTTTGCAGTTTTTTATTTTCATAACTTTCTACAATTGGGAGTGGTTATCATGCTATAAAAAGGCAAGAGAAGCCATGAATATTTACCCCTAGGTCAGAGGAGAAAAGGTCCCTGCCTCATTCCACCTGTCTTGCTTCTCCAGGTCTGACCCACCAGAAACATGGCAAGCAGCGCCGTCCCCAGTGACAACCTTCCCACGTACAAGCTGGTGGTGGTGGGGGATGGGGGTGTGGGCAAGAGTGCCCTCACCATCCAGTTTTTCCAGAAGATCTTTGTGCCTGACTACGACCCCACCATCGAAGACTCCTACCTGAAACACACAGAGATTGACAATCAGTGGGCCATCTTGGACGGTGAGACCTGCGGGGGGCAGAGGTGGTCGGTGAAGAGGGTCAAGGACGGCTGACAGGCTTTGGTGGGGCGTGATGGTGTTCTGCAAGTTGCCATTAGGAAACAATTGGTATTACGAGACATTTGGTGCAAGGCCATATATGGTTTCCAGGGTGAATTCTGAACAGCTTTGTGGAAACCAAAATGTGTATTCAACAAAGAGGCAGGGCTTGACTCATGCCAAGTCAGTAATGTCATGTTTGTTATTTCTTGCTGGTCAGAAGCTCTGATTAGCATTCACAGATGTCTCTAGCTAATAAAAAAAAAGGGGGGGATACATTTCTTAGTCAGTATAGTTTACTTGGTAATTGTCCCTTGGTGGGAAAAAAAACAACAACCCTCTCATCTGACATTGTGTTTCTAGTTTAGGCTTAATTGGTCGAGATTAGTAGTTCTCCAAGTGTGGTAGCCAGGCCAGCATCAGCATCCAGGGAACGTACTGGAAATGAAAAACCTCGAGTCCTACTGATTCAGCAGTTCTGAGGGTGAGGCCCAGCAGCCTGTGTCTTAATAAGCCCTCCAGGTAATGGTGAAGTCAGGGAGCCGCTACTCCGGATTCTTCGTGATTATTACTCTGTACGCTGTGTCCTGTGTCTCTCTCTTAAACAAAGAGCCATTGATCATAGAATGTCATTATAGGAGGGAAGCTTCGAAAACCACTGGGATACAAGTCCTCTGTCAGATACGTGATCTACAAATATTTTCTCCCACTCCGTGGCTCGTTCTCTTCATAGAGTCTGTCAAACACCAGATTTTCTAGTGTTCGTTAAGTCCCCTGTATCAGTTGTTCTTTTGTGGACCTTGCTTTAGGTGTTGAATCTAAGCAATTGTCACTTAAACCAAGGTTACGAAAGCTTCCTCCTGTGTTTTCTTCCAGAAGCTTAAAGGTTTTAGGGTTATCATCTACCCTAGTTAACATTTTATATAGCATGAGGCATGGAACAAAGTTTATTTTTTTGGTATACGAATATGCAATTGTTCCAGCACTATTTGTTGAAAAGATTGTCCTTTCCTGACTTTCTACCTGTGATGAAAATTGTTCATCCATATATTCCATTTCTTGGACCTACATGTCTGTCTTGATAACTGTGGATGTATAAAGAGTCTTGAAATCGGGTGCTGTTAAATCTCCAACTTTGTTCTTTTTCAAAGTTGTTTTGGCTAGCCAAGGCCCTTTGCATTTCCATATGAATTGGAGAATCTGTTAAATTCTAAAACTCTAGATTTTTATTGGGATTGTGTTGAATCTGCAGCTCAACTTGAAGAATTGACATGTTAACAATGTGGACCTCCCCGCCCATGAGCCCATTAGCGCTCTCCCCTTATTTAAGTCCTCCCTAATACTCTCACCGCTTGTTCTGCAGTTCTGAGTGCATTGGCCATTTACACATTTCGTCAACTTTACACCTACATCAGTGTTATACATGATACTGTTTTTTTTTATTTTAGTTTTGAGGCTTTTGTTGCTAGTATTTAGAAATACCATAGAATTTTGTATATTAATCTTATAACCTGCAACCTTGCTAAACTCACATATTCTAGCTTTTTTGTAGATTCCATTGGATTTTCTGCATAGATGTTCATGTCTGAGTAAAGAAAGTTTTACTTCTTTCCAGTTTGGGTGGCTTATTTCTTTTGCTGAGTTTTTATCAGGAGGGGATGTTGGATTTTGTCAAATGCTTTTTCTGTGTCTACTGAGATAATCATATGATTTTTCCCTTTTTTAGTTTGTTAATATGTCAAATTGACATTGCATCCCCAGGATAAACTGTACTTGGTCATGATGAATTGCACTGTTATATGTTCTTGGCTTTGACTTGCTCAAGTTTTGTTTAGAGTTTTTGCGTCTACGAGAGATACTGGTCTGTAGTTTTCTTGCAATGTTGAATAATGATGGCTTTATTGAATGACTGGGGAAGCACACTCCCTTAAATTTTTTGGAAGAGTCTAAACAAAATTGGTATTATTTCTTTCTTAAATGCTTAGTAGAATTTACCTAAGAGGACATCTGGGCCTGAGGGGTTTTTTTTAGGAAAACTTTAAACTACAAATTCAACTTCTTTAATAGATACAAGGCTGTTCAAGTAATCCCTTTATTTTTTTTCCAGTGAGCTTTGGTAGTTTGTCTCAAAATTTTGTTTAGTTCATCAGAGTTATCAAATTTATTGGCATAAAGTTGTTCATAATACTCTCTCTATTTTTAAATTCTCACCCAGGGAAATGTTTATTGATTTTAGAGAAAAGAGGGGGCAAGGGGTGAAAGAGAGAAACATCAATCAGTTGTCTCCTGTTCACACCCCACATACTAGGTTTGAACCCACAACCTAGGTATGTACCCTGACCAGGGATTGAACCTGTAGACTTTTTAGTACAGAACGACACTCCAACTAACTGAACCACCCAGCCAGGGCCATAATATTCTCTTACTATCTTTTTATTATCTGTAAATCTGTAGTGTTGCTACTGCTCTCATTCCTAATATTGGTAATTAGTGTCTTTCCTTTTTTCTTGATGCTGCTGGCTAGAGATTTATCAACATCATTGATTTCCTCAAAGAACCAGCTTTTGAGTCCATTGATTTTTTTCCTTTGGCTCCACTGATTTCCACTCTCATCTTTAGTATTTTCTTTTTTGTCTGCCTACTTTGGATTTAATTTTCTCTCTTTTCCTAACTTTTTAAAGTAGAAAGTGATGTCATTGATTTGAACATTTGTTTTTTTCCTAGGTATTTATTTGATGCAATAAATCTTCCCTAACTGCTCATTTGACTGCATCCCACAAAATGTAATAAGTTACGTTTTTATTTTCATTCAGTTCAAAAACTTTCTACTTTTCCCTTTGATTTCATCTTTGACCCACTGGTTACTTAGAAATGTATTATTTAGTTCTCGAGTATTTAGTAAATTTCCAGAGATCTTTCTGTATTCATTTCTATTTTTATTTCATCATATCAGAAAACATACAGGATATTATTTGAATTTTTTAAACTCATTGAGGCTTGCCCTATGGCCCAGGATATGGTCTGTGTTGGGCAACCTTCCACATGCATGTGAAAAGAACATATTTTCTGCTTTATTGGATGAAGTCTTCAATCACTGTCAATTAGATCAAGTTGGTTGATAGTGTTGTCAAAGTCTTCTATTTCTTTATTGATTTTCTGTCTAGTTGTGCTGTCTATTATTGAGAGTGAGAGGTGTTGAATTTCAGAGTGTTATTGTGAATTTGCCTATTTTTTTCCTATCAGTTTTTGTGGCAGGTACTTGGACACTCTGTTATTAAGTGCGTAAATGTTTGAGACCAATACATCTTCTTGATGAACTGACCCCTTTTTATTGCAAAATGACATTCTCTGACTCTGGTTTTCCCTCCCTGCACCGTGGCCTGGACACTCTCCAGGCTGTAAGTTGGGCACTTACAGGTGCCCTCACCTCTTTTATATCTCACCTCACAGGGGTCACCACCCTTTATTGCTGGATGTTCAGTGTCTTGAATACCATTGTTTTATGTATTTTTGTCTAATTTTTTTGGTTGTTTAGGCTGAGAAGGTAAATCTGGTCCTTGTTGCTCTACCTTGACCAGAACCAGACCAAATTATCAGTTTAAAAAAATGCAACTTTGTGTTTTTTAGTGTTGCATATACTAAAAGCCACTGAATTTTGAAGTGAAGAACATTTTTAAAGGATGACTGTTACCCTCTTTGAATGATATCCTGATTTGACAAAGCCCTGTCCTCCAGGGGCTGCCTGCAGCCCTGGAACTTGGAACAGTGCCATCAGCTACCTGATGGCCCCAAACACGTTCCGCCCTCGGGGTCTTTGTGTTCGTGTTCCCTCCGCCTAGAACATTCCTGATGCAGAAGGACATTATTGCCTCCCTCACGCCTCCACTCCAATGTCACTGTATCTGAGAGGGCTTCCCTGAGCAAGCCTCCGACAGCAGCACCTACCCACCCCCACCCCTGGGCCCCTGCCCGGCTCTTTTTCCTTGTTCTCCCTTTTACTGTTGAACATGTATTTGTTTAATGCGTTTATTTGTTTGCTTCAGTTTTTATCATTCCCCACTAAAATATACACTTAGGAGAGCAGGGGCTTTATTTTATTTACTTCTATATCCTCAGCATCTAGAATACTGCTTGGCTCCTGGTAAATCCTCAGTAAATGTGGAATGATTGAGTGAATGAATCCTGAACAATATGTGTGCAGGCGCAGGTTTGATGTGCTAGCTGTGTTATTTCTAACACGTGTTAAAGTAAATATATATAACCATTAAAATAAAAAATGTAGGGCTCTGGCTGGTTAGCTCAGTTGGTTAAAGTGTCATCCCAATATGCTAAGGTTACAGGTTCAATCCCTGGTCAGGACACATACAAGAAGCAACCAGTAAATGCGTAAATATGTGAAACAACAAACTGATATTTCTCTGTCTCTCTCTCAAATCAATTTAAAATTAAAAAATAATAAATTTAAGAACTTAGATTTATAAACTTTCTAAAATCATCTCATACACCACCTATTCAAACATATATGAGGTCTGTCCAGAAAAAGTCCATCCATTGTTAATATAATGAGAATGATTTATGTGACATTGATGTAACCTAGGAGCCAAGGAGAGTGGACTGGAATGCCCATGGGTGAATAGTGATGACATCACTGTACTAGTCAGTGGGGGCAGTAGATGCTGTTGAGTGAGCATGTGCACTGTGTGGCCATCGCATTCAAAATGACTGAGCGAGTAGAGCAACGAATCTGCATCAAATTTTGCATTAAGTTTGAACATTCCCCCATGGAAACTGTTGGATGATTCAGAATGCGCACCTGGTGATTGACAGCTTCGTCACAACAATGCGCCTGCTCATGCATCATGTCTCATGCAGAGTTTTTTAGCAAAACATCAAATCATCCAGGTGACTCAGCCCCCCCCATACAGCTCAGATTTGGTGCCCTAAAACTTGTGGCTTTTCCCA